TTTGAACTGATTCTGTTGTAAAAGTGAAATTCATGCAGCAAACCACTTGAAACGCTTAAAACAGGCCAGAAACATCATGAATTGCATACTGGCATCCAACAACTGTGATTCTATGTATTTGAACTGATTCTGTTGTAAAAGTGAAATTCATGCAGCAAACCACTTGAAACGCTTAAAACAGGCCAGAAACATCATGAATTGCATACTGGCATCCAACAACTGTGATTCTATGTATTTGAACTGATTCTGTTGTAAAAGTGAAATTCATGCAGCAAACCACTTGAAACGCTTAAAACAGGCCAGAAACATCATGAATTGCATACTGGCATCCAACAACTGTGATTCTATGTATTTGAACTGATTCTGTTGTAAAAGTGAAATTCATGCAGCAAACCACTTGAAACGCTTAAAACAGGCCAGAAACATCATGAATTGCATACTGGCATCCAACAACTGTGATTCTATGTATTTGAACTGATTCTGTTGTAAAAGTGAAATTCATGCAGCAAACCACTTGAAACGCTTAAAACAGGCCAGAAACATCATGAATTGCATACTGGCATCCAACAACTGTGATTCTATGTATTTGAACTGATTCTGTTGTAAAAGTGAAATTCATGCAGCAAACCACTTGAAACGCTTAAAACAGGCCAGAAACATCATGAATTGCATACTGGCATCCAACAACTGTGATTCTATGTATTTGAACTGATTCTGTTGTAAAAGTGAAATTCATGCAGCAAACCACTTGAAACGCTTAAAACAGGCCAGAAACATCATGAATTGCATACTGGCATCCAACAACTGTGATTCTATGTATTTGAACTGATTCTGTTGTAAAAGTGAAATTCATGCAGCAAACCACTTGAAACGCTTAAAACAGGCCAGAAACATCATGAATTGCATACTGGCATCCAACAACTGTGATTCTATGTATTTGAACTGATTCTGTTGTAAAAGTGAAATTCATGCAGCAAACCACTTGAAACGCTTAAAACAGGCCAGAAACATCATGAATTGCATACTGGCATCCAACAACTGTGATTCTATGTATTTGAACTGATTCTGTTGTAAAAGTGAAATTCATGCAGCAAACCACTTGAAACGCTTAAAACAGGCCAGAAACATCATGAATTGCATACTGGCATCCAACAACTGTGATTCTATGTATTTGAACTGATTCTGTTGTAAAAGTGAAATTCATGCAGCAAACCACTTGAAACGCTTAAAACAGGCCAGAAACATCATGAATTGCATACTGGCATCCAACAACTGTGATTCTATGTATTTGAACTGATTCTGTTGTAAAAGTGAAATTCATGCAGCAAACCACTTGAAACGCTTAAAACAGGCCAGAAACATCATGAATTGCATACTGGCATCCAACAACTGTGATTCTATGTATTTGAACTGATTCTGTTGTAAAAGTGAAATTCATGCAGCAAACCACTTGAAACGCTTAAAACAGGCCAGAAACATCATGAATTGCATACTGGCATCCAACAACTGTGATTCTATGTATTTGAACTGATTCTGTTGTAAAAGTGAAATTCATGCAGCAAACCACTTGAAACGCTTAAAACAGGCCAGAAACATCATGAATTGCATACTGGCATCCAACAACTGTGATTCTATGTATTTGAACTGATTCTGTTGTAAAAGTGAAATTCATGCAGCAAACCACTTGAAACGCTTAAAACAGGCCAGAAACATCATGAATTGCATACTGGCATCCAACAACTGTGATTCTATGTATTTGAACTGATTCTGTTGTAAAAGTGAAATTCATGCAGCAAACCACTTGAAACGCTTAAAACAGGCCAGAAACATCATGAATTGCATACTGGCATCCAACAACTGTGATTCTATGTATTTGAACTGATTCTGTTGTAAAAGTGAAATTCATGCAGCAAACCACTTGAAACGCTTAAAACAGGCCAGAAACATCATGAATTGCATACTGGCATCCAACAACTGTGATTCTATGTATTTGAACTGATTCTGTTGTAAAAGTGAAATTCATGCAGCAAACCACTTGAAACGCTTAAAACAGGCCAGAAACATCATGAATTGCATACTGGCATCCAACAACTGTGATTCTATGTATTTGAACTGATTCTGTTGTAAAAGTGAAATTCATGCAGCAAACCACTTGAAACGCTTAAAACAGGCCAGAAACATCATGAATTGCATACTGGCATCCAACAACTGTGATTCTATGTATTTGAACTGATTCTGTTGTAAAAGTGAAATTCATGCAGCAAACCACTTGAAACGCTTAAAACAGGCCAGAAACATCATGAATTGCATACTGGCATCCAACAACTGTGATTCTATGTATTTGAACTGATTCTGTTGTAAAAGTGAAATTCATGCAGCAAACCACTTGAAACGCTTAAAACAGGCCAGAAACATCATGAATTGCATACTGGCATCCAACAACTGTGATTCTATGTATTTGAACTGATTCTGTTGTAAAAGTGAAATTCATGCAGCAAACCACTTGAAACGCTTAAAACAGGCCAGAAACATCATGAATTGCATACTGGCATCCAACAACTGTGATTCTATGTATTTGAACTGATTCTGTTGTAAAAGTGAAATTCATGCAGCAAACCACTTGAAACGCTTAAAACAGGCCAGAAACATCATGAATTGCATACTGGCATCCAACAACTGTGATTCTATGTATTTGAACTGATTCTGTTGTAAAAGTGAAATTCATGCAGCAAACCACTTGAAACGCTTAAAACAGGCCAGAAACATCATGAATTGCATACTGGCATCCAACAACTGTGATTCTATGTATTTGAACTGATTCTGTTGTAAAAGTGAAATTCATGCAGCAAACCACTTGAAACGCTTAAAACAGGCCAGAAACATCATGAATTGCATACTGGCATCCAACAACTGTGATTCTATGTATTTGAACTGATTCTGTTGTAAAAGTGAAATTCATGCAGCAAACCACTTGAAACGCTTAAAACAGGCCAGAAACATCATGAATTGCATACTGGCATCCAACAACTGTGATTCTATGTATTTGAACTGATTCTGTTGTAAAAGTGAAATTCATGCAGCAAACCACTTGAAACGCTTAAAACAGGCCAGAAACATCATGAATTGCATACTGGCATCCAACAACTGTGATTCTATGTATTTGAACTGATTCTGTTGTAAAAGTGAAATTCATGCAGCAAACCACTTGAAACGCTTAAAACAGGCCAGAAACATCATGAATTGCATACTGGCATCCAACAACTGTGATTCTATGTATTTGAACTGATTCTGTTGTAAAAGTGAAATTCATGCAGCAAACCACTTGAAACGCTTAAAACAGGCCAGAAACATCATGAATTGCATACTGGCATCCAACAACTGTGATTCTATGTATTTGAACTGATTCTGTTGTAAAAGTGAAATTCATGCAGCAAACCACTTGAAACGCTTAAAACAGGCCAGAAACATCATGAATTGCATACTGGCATCCAACAACTGTGATTCTATGTATTTGAACTGATTCTGTTGTAAAAGTGAAATTCATGCAGCAAACCACTTGAAACGCTTAAAACAGGCCAGAAACATCATGAATTGCATACTGGCATCCAACAACTGTGATTCTATGTATTTGAACTGATTCTGTTGTAAAAGTGAAATTCATGCAGCAAACCACTTGAAACGCTTAAAACAGGCCAGAAACATCATGAATTGCATACTGGCATCCAACAACTGTGATTCTATGTATTTGAACTGATTCTGTTGTAAAAGTGAAATTCATGCAGCAAACCACTTGAAACGCTTAAAACAGGCCAGAAACATCATGAATTGCATACTGGCATCCAACAACTGTGATTCTATGTATTTGAACTGATTCTGTTGTAAAAGTGAAATTCATGCAGCAAACCACTTGAAACGCTTAAAACAGGCCAGAAACATCATGAATTGCATACTGGCATCCAACAACTGTGATTCTATGTATTTGAACTGATTCTGTTGTAAAAGTGAAATTCATGCAGCAAACCACTTGAAACGCTTAAAACAGGCCAGAAACATCATGAATTGCATACTGGCATCCAACAACTGTGATTCTATGTATTTGAACTGATTCTGTTGTAAAAGTGAAATTCATGCAGCAAACCACTTGAAACGCTTAAAACAGGCCAGAAACATCATGAATTGCATACTGGCATCCAACAACTGTGATTCTATGTATTTGAACTGATTCTGTTGTAAAAGTGAATTTCATGCAGCAAACCACTTGAAACGCTTAAAACAGGCCAGAAACATCATGAATTGCATACTGGCATCCAACAACTGTGATTCTATGTATTTGAACTGATTCTGTTGTAAAAGTGAATTTCATGCAGCAAACCACTTGAAACGCTTAAAACAGGCCAGAAACATCATGA